TATTGGCAAAAAACAGCTGTGTGGTTTTGTTTTAGGCACTCAACAGTTTTAGGCATAATTAAAAGGATAAAAACGTCAAAAATGTTTCATATCAAATATTGATATTGGCCTAAATTTTAAGATCAGTGCCCCGACGATTCAAATATTGTATTTTATTACATGAAAAGCATGTAATATGGCTACAAATGGCTACAAATGGCTACAAATTTGGTTTGTGGGGCTGTGACCAATATGGCCCCACATTTTGTTCTTGGTACAAGGGGGAGCAAAACACTCAAAAACCAAAAACAGCAAATCAAATTTAAAATGTTTTATTACAAAAAACAGCCACTTTCATTAGTGACAGAATAAAAACAGTCCTGTTTTTTTAACAATCCAAGGTTCAATAACTGTCCTAAGAAGAAAGTCGCCAATCTGAGGCCACCAGTTGGGTTCCACTTGTCACTCTGCTCCAGGTGAAGGCGATCCGCCTGTAATGTGCTCGTTTGCCGATCCCTAGCTGACTCTGCGACGCTCCAGCACTGTTCTGCTCTTTGGCATGCCATGCACCTTTCAGACCGATCCAGCTAAAAGAAAGAAGCAGGAAAGCGCCATCATCCCCGCACCCAGACGCCGTCGAGGGACATATTCCCTGCCGGAACTCTAATCGAAGTGGAGTGCTATTTACGGGCGCGGATCCTCTGCGCTGGACCGTAGGTTCACCTCTCGGTGCTTTGCGCCTGGCGTGCAGATTCCGTCCGCCCCTCGCTCGGCAACGCATCCGTCTTTGTCGCTTGCAGGATCAGTCCTCTTCTCCTTCCATCCGAGCTCCTTTTATTCTGGCTTCAATCAGCTTCTGCTGACACCTGAGCAGGAGGGTTTCCGCCTCTTTAAGCGGCCGCCTTCAGTCCAGTGCGTTTGGGTTGTTAAAGGGAAAAACAAAAACAATCAAAACCTGCAAAGCACAACAAAAAATTAAGAAAAGAAAGCAATCATATTTTATCATGTGCAACAGGGGAAGGCGGGGTTATTGTCATTGTTGAGGAAACACTGCAAAAAAACAAACTTTGACATCCGGAGCTCAGCAACACAAACCGACGTGACGAGCTTTTGCTGCTCCTTTTTAAATCTCTGTTTGGTCAGAAGAGACGTTTGAACTTCTTCTCTTCCTGCTCTGCCTACATGAAGCCTCTGTTTCAGTTCCTCCTAGATATTTGGGGTCATAGTTCAGATTTTATCTCAGCTTTTGTGAGGTAATCAGCTGCATCTTGTTGTAGAAACACCTTGTTTCCATGGTTACCATCATAAAAACTGTTGGGACAAAAAGAGCTAGAGATGTATCCAAAGTGCACACAAGAGTGTTATCTTACAACTGTTTTTTTTTGCACATTTTTATGAATTTATTTGAAATAGTCTGAAATATATGTGCAAATTTTGTAAATTTCTCAAACTATTCTCTCTTTCACACTTCTTTTAACCTGGATATCCTATTTTTGATATCTGTACAATATCTTTCCGTTGTAATAAATTTGCCCCAACTGTACAGTTTTATTTTTTATGATCTTTCACCTTTTTATGTGAGTCTCCATGCTTCCCTCAGTCTGTCACTTTATTGCTGATAAACCTGAATTTTCTCCCATCATTTCCTCTGTAGCATTAATCATATCTGGCCCAAAAGTTGCTTTAACAAACTGATATTAGGTTATTTTCTCTAAGCAGGTGCAGGTGATTGTCAGTAAAACAAGGTATTTTTCTAAATGTTCCAAGCATTTTCTTCCCAAAAAATATTACATTAAAATTAATAAAATATAGTCTATATTTCCTCTTTGCTCTTTATTGGTGATAATAATTCAGTTAAAATAGAATGATGATATAATTTTAATTTATTAGCTTCATTAAATGAACCCAGGCCATAATAAAATAGCCTGGAGATCAACTGTTTTCCATGTATTTGCTGCTGAAGCAAAGTTACAGCCAGGCTTCTCTCCAGCTTTTAAGTCCAGTAGTTAAACTCATCCCCATCTCTGACATTTTGATCTTCAGCGGCCCGCCTCCTCCATTATTCTCCCATCAGTTAACCAGCACAGGATGCAGAGTCTGTAAACGTGCAATAACTCCGAGGAAACCCTCCATCTTTTACCAAAGGAGGGCAAACTAATTAATTCAAGTTTATTACCCACTGTTTGATCAACCAGAAATCTTCCCCAGCTGTTCTATCACCAACTTCTTCTGCGCTCTGCCCCACATTAGCATCTAATTTGTTGAAGGCCTTAGCTCCTGCTAGCTTACTGAGTGTTTCACATGCAGAAGGAAGAAGATACTTCTCATTACACATGGACTCATTCAGTGTTGAAAGGTTGACACATAGGCATACACACACCACTTATCTTTTTGAGCACAACCACCATTCCTGAACTCCACTCAGTTGGCTCCTCAGTTCTGCTGATCATGCCAAACTGTCCATCAAAGGAAGTGGATCCTTCTGGATATCTTTACTGAATATGGTTGAGCCCCTGGTTTCAATCTGATGACATAAGGCTGTCTCACCTCTCACAGGCCACTGCATAGCTTTGGATAGCCCTTTAGGCAAATGGAGAATCTTCTAGAAAGAGCCTTTGTGTTACATAACTGGGGTGGACAATGTATAATGAGGTGAAGTACCGGGTTTAGATCAGGTCACTATGCATCCAAATTGAGACAGTGTTTCTTCATGCAATGCAGTCTCCACAGGTATATCTTTGTATTTACTGGAATAAATTGGTTCATTGTTTCATTCATTGACTCTGTGTTTTTTCCTCACATCAACAAACAGGAAAGTGATCTTGAGGTTATCTCCAACAGTTAGGAGGGGGCAACTGGATGTGAGATGTTTGGTGATCTGGAACCTTGAGTGGAACCCCACAGAAACAACCCATCGTCAACCTGCTAAGAACAGGTAGGCAGAAACCTGTTTATTTATACTAATCAGTTATTTCCAAATCGAGAGTCTTTGTCTGTGGTGTACATTCAGAGTCCAGTGGATGTTTGTTTGAAGCTCATTGAGAAATTATTGTGATTTATTCTTGTCTAAAATAACGTTGAAGAGGCTCAGAAGATAAAATCCCCTCAAAATAATGAGGGTGGCAGAATCCCGAGGAAAAACTCCTTGAATTGTTTATTCTGGGTGTGACAAGATCCCCTATTGCCCAACAAAACAACAACACAGGGATTGGCATGTCGTATTGAGTGTCATGGTTGGGGATCACTAAATGCTTTGGGGTTCTAGAGAACCTCTGGGGTGGTATTCCCTAAAATACTGTATTTAATCGATTTATTAAGTGAGATGAAAACAAGCAGTGTCCTCTATGAGGATTGGATATCATTGAATCCTATTTGGGCATGTTGGACAGAATGTGGGTGAGTGTGTGTGGCTGTCCCCTGACGGTGTAACTTGATCATTGTGTCCTGAAGTTGAATAATGGACAGAATGTGTGTGTGAGTATGGGGCCGTCCCCTGACGGTATAACTTGATATTTTACACTTTTTGTTATGGCAGTTTTTGTCCTATAATCATTTAAAAATAGTTAGAAAATTATGCATTATCCATGTCATTTTCTTTCAATGCTGGTTCCTAGATTGTTTAGATAAATAATTTTTAAATGGGTTTAGCAGCTGCCACAAACAACAACTGGTAAGTGATCACTAATATCATACACTAATAATCCACTTATTGAACTGTTATGTATTAAATCAGTAAATATTTTATTTATTAATGTGATCCTGTTAGGTCTTGTAATTTTAGGGAAAGAGCTCAGACTGCATATAGCGTTCAATATTAAAATCACCACCGGTTAAAAAAAAAGACCCAGTACATGTAACTAACAATTAATTTTTTTTTTTTCATATATATTTCAACTGTTAAGCACTCCACATATCTTTTACCACTTTAGTCATGTTTTCCAGTATTGTATATCGAAGATTGCTGTCCAAATGTACAGCTACTCTCCCGCCAGTCTTTCCGTCTCTGTTAATATAACTAATTTCATAACTGTCTAGTTAAAGTCCGTCTTGATATTAACCCAGGTTTCAGAAATGGTTATGACACTGAAAGGCTTAATGAACTGGCATAGACAAACTTTGATTCTGTTAAAATTAACATATAAGCTTCTGCTGCTGAAATGATGGAAAATCGAGTTGTATTGCTGAGTAGAATAGTAGCAACACTTGTTAACAATATTATAGATAAAGTTATTTTCTGGATCCAAATCCAGCAACAGCTGGAGTCGGATGGATAGAGCCTGAAGGAGAGAGGACAGTTCCCTGTGGAGCCCCATGTTGCTGACAACACTGTCTGACACACCAACTGTGGTAGATAGTCAACAATCAGGACACCAGGGGGCTCCACCTGCATCACCATCAGTTTCTGACCCAGTAGAGCCGGACGGATGGAGCTGAATGTGCTGGAGAATCAAAGAACATGATTCTCTCAGAGCTGGTCCAGGTGAGCGTTTACACAGTTCAGCAGGAAGATGATGGCGTCCTCAACTCCCAGTCTGGGCTGCTAGGAGAACTGCAAGGGGTCCAGTGTGGTTGGACCAGAGTCCGGAGCGGCTCCAGGACCAGTCTCTCCAGGGTCTTCATGATGTGGGAGGTCAGAGGTCACAGGAGTCCTTGGAGTCACAGGGTCGCTGCGTCTTTGGTACCGGAACAATGCAGGATGTTTTCCACGTCACAGGGATCCTCTGTAGGCGCAGGCTCATGTTGAAGACATGTGCTCTGCTTCCCCCTGCTGGACTGGAGGGTGTACTGCATGTCGCCCCATTACTCACATTAGAAAACTTTTAATTTTTACCAATATTAGTGGCAAATAAACTGTAATAAACTTATACAGGTTCACATATGGCCAGACTTTTTATTGTAGTTTATCTGTAACAGGTTAATATAACAAATAACCAGCAGATCAGTAAACACTGTGTTGATGTGAAGTCAAGCAGAAAGGCCTGAACTTTCCACATTTTGGTGTTGGAAGGATTTTTAGCTGCAGATTCATGAAGCCATTAATCCCAACAAACCTGATAACTTTATCTGTTTTATTTGGTTTTATTTTTGCTGTTTCAGATCAACAAGAGACATTCAGGAAATATAATCATTTGAAATAGATTATTTTTTATTTCTTTCCAGAGAATGAAGATGAAGTAATAAATTTATGTTTCTAATTTTGTTTATCTGGGATTTTTGTGTACATTTATTTTGTTTACCAGTCAAGAAGTGCAGATGGTTGGACACATGTTGTGATGAAAAAGTTGTTTTAACTTTCTAATCCTTTATAAATAAAACAAACAGCAAAAGTTAAACTCACTGAAGATTTTGGTGGTTTGATTTTAAAAAGTCTTGAAAAACAAACACTCTTACAAGGTATTAATATGTTTACTAAGCTTCTCATTGTTCTTTCAATGATCTAATAGTAATTTATTTACATAAATCTGTAAATAATAAACATTCAAAACATTTCAGTAAAAAACATACAGAAATGGAAAAAGTCCCCAAATGATCAGATCATCTCCAGTTTCCTGATTAAAAACAGAATTTAAAAAGGAGAAATTCAACAGACCAGCAAACAATCATAAAACCAATCAATCATCTGATCAATAAGGATGAATTTCATCTTCATGCTGAGATCATCAGAGCTGCTGTTTGATCACTGAGATCTTCATTGGTAGGATCTTTAATGTTTTATTAATGTAGAAGTATGGAAACATCTTCTGTGTGAAGGTGTGTGTGAAGGTGTGTATGTGTGTGTTAGTATCCAGGTCAGAGAAGGACAGTTTTCCTCTGTCCCAGTCCAGATTCACTCTGATCCTCTGGACTTTCTTCCGGATTGAGAGACCAGTGGGAGGAGCTGGTGGAGAATGTGCTGAGTATTCACCTAAATAGCACCAAATATTAAAAGATCCAGACTCTATGACTCCCTTCCTCTCTACAGACTCTTCCAACACACCAAGATCCCAGAATGAACTGTCTCCAACATCAACATCCCAGCTGTGGTTCCCCGAGTTAAAACCCTCAGAACTCAGAACAGACCAGTAATAATCAATCCTCTCTGGATTATCAGGAAGCTGCTGTTCCTCTCCTAAAGTCAAACTGGTCAGATCTTCAGACAGATGGAGAAATGGACTAGTCGTGTTTGGATCCAGAACCAGAGGAGTGTAGGTCACCATGTCCTTCATGTTGCTCCAGATGTTGAAGGCCAGGTTGCCCAGATGTTTGGCCTGGTCTATCAGAGCTCCTGAGGGCAGCTGTGGATCCTCCAGCAGGGGGCGGCGCTGGACTCTTTCCACTGCAGCCTTGTAGTTGTGCAGGAATGAGACGTCTGCAGCTCTCAGCTCCTCCTCTGTGGCTCTGACTGTGTCTGAAAGAGCTGCTATCTCTCTGCTCAGAGCCCCCTCCATCTTCTCCTCCATCATCCCTCTCTTCTGCTCCTCTTCCTCCCTCAGTGCAGCCAGCCTGGCCTCCTCTTCCTCTGCTAGAAACTGGTGAAGCTTCTTAAACTGCTCAACAATCTGCCTCTCTGTGTGTCGGGCCTGGACCTCCAGGTGTTCTGCTGTCTGATCAAACTCCTCCTGAACTTTCTTCCTGAGCTCCAGCTTCTCCTTTAAAGGCTCCAGAGTTTCCTCAAGATTCTTCCTGTGTTGCTGAGCAGCTTCATCGATGGCTCTGAATCTGTGCTCGGTGTGTTTTTCTGAATCTCTGCAGACGAGACACACTGGCTGCTGATGGTCCAGACAGAAGAGTTTGAGTTTCTCAGAGTGCAGAGAGCAGAGACCCTCTGGAGCTTTTTGGTTTCTCTGCTGTAGGAAAGACTCACACAGATTCTTCAGAGCCAGATTACAGGGAGGAGCATCTGATGCTGATCTTTTCCTACAAACAGGACATGAGCGACCAGTTCTTCTTCTCCAACATTTCTGCAGACATTCCTTACAGAAACTGTGGCTGCATGACAGAATAACCGGATCCTTAAATATTTCCTGACAGATCGGACAGCAGAGATCATCGTCTGATCTGGAAGCCATTTTGTTTCCTCGGAGTGAAGCTGAAAACACAGCAGACAGAAAGTTAAACCATGAAGTAACTTTCTCTCCTGTAGAAACTTTCTGAACTTACTTTTACTCTGATTTGCTTGTTGTTTCGTCCTCCAGCAGTTTGTGTCTCTAGTCGCTCAGTTCTCTCTCTGTTCTCCTTGTTCAGTGTTAGTTTGATTTCAGTCCGAGACGAAAATGATCCACGTGCGTTTCCTCCGACTTTTCTCTCTAAACTGTTTCCTGTTTTCCCCGGATGTTCCTGTTGGAGTCACTCCGCCCCAAGAGGAGTTTCTCTTCTCCTTCTTCGTCTTTTTTTCTTCTTCTACTGTTTCTTTCTTCTTTTTCTTGGTTTTATTGACGGTTGGCAACAAACGTTTAGTAGCATTACCGCCACCTGCTGGTATGGAGTGTGGATCGTGGTGGTCTAATTAAGATACACTGCTGAGCTCAATCCGTCACATTTTTTTTTATTCTAATACATGTCTGCTGAATGTAGAGGGCGAGGAACCGACGGATTACTAAAACCCGCAACTCCCAGACTGACTTTTACCACCCTCCCAAATTTATTTAAAATATACTAGTAGGCCTACTGTAATTTTATTTTATATTTCATAGGTAGATATGAGGATATGTTTATATGTATAAACATACGTCATTTAATATACACACCCATACATATAAATATACATACTTTTATATGTATTTTTACAATATCCATGTATTTATCATTCACACATTTAAAAACACACCACGACATTTAATCAAATTCCATGAAATAATTTAACTTTCTTCAAAAAACAAAGAGCTATTTTTATATGCTTGCTATCCAAATTCTTCCTCATAATATCTAATAAATTAACATTTTCCTTAATTCTTTCAAACTCTCTCTTCATGTATTTCCTCTCTTTTCATATTCATGACATTCTGATACAACATCCTCTGTTTCATAATTTCCAGTGCTCACATTTGCCAGTATTGTGCTTTTGAATTTTAAAGTGTATAGTTAAATCCTGTCTGGCCAAATATCAACTTTGTTATCAGTCTTTTCTTCTTTTTTCTTTATTTAACAATCTTTTTAATTTTATTAAACTGTCTTCCTGTTTTCCTTCATCCCACCTTTTTTGCTGTTTTTCATCAGTTTGTCTTTAACAAAACTCTTTCCCTCAGATTTACTTTAGCTGAACAACTAAAAGGATTTTGAATTTCCCTCATTGCCATTTTATCTGCCTTCTAATTTCCTACAATATGTTCCATCCTACTGTCTAATTATATTTTAAACATAATGCAGAGCTTGAATCTGAACATATAGTTTTTTAATGGTTTTATATCTCATATCTATTGTAAAGCTAATAATATTGCCATCAGTTCTCCTGTGTATACTGATTATCCATCTGTAGTTTGTTTTCCTATTTTTATATTAATTTCTGGTACTACACTCTAAAATGCTTTACTCAACTCTCAATGAATTGTTAATTCAACTCAAGTAATGTGAGTAATGTACATGTTTGGCCTGAGAAAAATGAACTGGATTTTTTTTTGTTACTGGAGCGAATGCTTCAGCTCAGCAGTGCGCATGCGCAGCAAAGTGCCGGATGCTTCCAGAATGTTCGCTGATGCTTGAATAAGCAGCGCTTCATTAAAGGTGAGTTATTCGTCTTTAGTAAATTTTCATGTGTCATGTTGCCTTTACTACTCGCATGTATAGTTACAGGTTGATTTTTCTCAAAAATGATGAAGCATAAAAGTCTTCACAGACTAATATGCTAATGTTAGCATGGGCTCATGGGTCATACATTAGCTAAAACCTTAGACATCATATACGTATTTATGTCTATGTATGCCACGAGAGGTGGTGACGTATTTCCGTTTGGATTTATTCCACATAGATTGGTTCCGGGTCCTGCTGACTCCTATTGTTTTCAGCCAAAGTTGCAAGATCTGTACCATGAAAAAGACGCAAAACTTAAAACATCTGCGAGCTGCTGGTACAACAACTGAGTTTTGTGGTGTGCCATTGTGTCCAGTAATTAGCCGGTACCATCCGGTGCTTAGTTTTTTCATTTTCCAGCTGATATCAAGGCGACAGCGGACTGTAGCCAAAACTTAGCCACTACAGCTAACACGCGGTTTGTAGCTGCCTGCTATTTCAAACTTGAAATAGCAGTTTAAAGGGAGCTGTTCGTGCTTCGTTCGGTGGAATAATTTGTTGGAGGAAAATAATGCCGGAGGAACTCCACTGCTACGGGAACAGGCTGAGAACAGAGGCAGCGATTCGGCACAAGGTAAGTCAATACGTGTGTTAATGTATGAAATTGTTTATAGGCAACTCCTTAGCTTTTGTTTATATGGCAACTATATAAAATACATTTAACATGCAGTCGGAGCGATACCGAGCAGGTAATTTAATAACAGCCGAGAGCAGCAACGCCTCAGCCCGATCCAAACCACACAGGTAGTCGGTCAGATTAACGTCCAAAACCTTCACTTTACAGCCGTTTAAGTTTCACCGATCCACATGAAAAACCACCGAACAAATTGTTCAAATCA